TGATGATGATGATGATGATGATGATGATGATGATGATGATGATGATGATGATGATGAAAGCTCATTTCTTACTGCTGATGACACATGAACATCTTTAATGTCTAAAACTGAATGTCTGTTCCCAAGATCTATTGTCTATTTTCTTGTCTTATTATTGCACCTGTTTTATTGATGTTCACATTTTTTGAATTTAGGGCCATACTTCACATCCCATTCAAAGAAGGTCATTATGGAAATGCTGTAAAACTTTAGCAAAGAGCTTTGAAAGGTGAAATTAATAAAACGTAAAGCCATTATCAAAGTCTAAGAAAAAGAGGAACAGTCCTACAAAGTCACTAACTGTCACTCGTGCAATTTCTTTGCAGTGTGGGTGTTAAATGATGAAGAACTAGAACGAAGCAACATCCCAGCAACCAAAAGCCTAGTATGGCTATTTTATCTTAACCCACAACAGCAACTAAAAGGTTAAAAGGCTGTGCTGTGACAGCGCGAGTTCATAAGCTAGAAAACAAAAGTGAAATAGAAAAGAAAAAAATGCTGGAACATTTATTCATTCCACACTGTTGCATGCAAGGTTGGAGCAGGATGAAGCTTATTTCAAATAAGATGGTGTAATAGAGGGAATAATGCACACTGACGCACAGATGACCATTCACACTAAAAACTAATCTCAGCTGGAATCTTTGAATCTATTCAGTTATCCAAACATGCATGTAACTAGACTGTGAGGGAAAGCAAGAAGGCCACTCATGCCTGGGTTGAATGCATACATGCCTGCAGAAAAAGTTCCTCAGTGGGTTGAATAAGCCAAAGCTTAAACCGTGCTGATGTGTGGCAGCAGTGAAACGCACTTCCCAGCCTATATTTTTATTATTTTAATTACTGCTTACTGCGTTGTAAACTTCTTAGAAATTCAATTGCAGAACCTCAGTCACTCAGAGTCCATTGTCACTTGTTTTTTTCTTCTTTTTTGTGTTTTAATTGTTTGTGTATTTTTACAGGTACAGTTGCATTTGGGGGGGAAAAAACAGCTAATTAGTCATCATACGATTACTACGAGCAAGTGGTAATCAGATGCTAAATACTAATGTGACCGTGTGCAATAGACTGGAAATTTGAAATGGTTGCCTCAAGGACGGCAATCAGGTCTGTCTTCAAAGCAGCTTTTGTGCACAGTTTAGGTTTGTGATAAAATGGAGTCAGTTATATGCAATCTGTGATCATTTGGTGATTAACTGCTATAAATTGACAAGAAAGGACAAATCTGTTGCTGTCTACATACACAAAAAGTTACATTAAACAGATATTCAGAGTCC